CTGGGGAACGGGGCGGGTGGGGGCACCACAGCGCGGCCTGCCCTGCCTGGGGAGCATCTCCCGGTTCCTCACCACTCCCCACCCTTGACTCTACAGCAAGGGGCCATCCTGGCAAACACGCGGCCCTCCACAGAACCGCTCCGACTTGCTTTCCTCCTGGCCTGGCTCTTCCCCCAGGCGCAGCAACCCAGCCTGCCCCCTTCTCCAGACCCCAAAACCTCTTGCCTGAGCAAACAGGTGAAACCATGGCAGCCTCCACCTCCTCTGGCTGGTCCTGGAGGACCCAGCTCCTGCAAGCTCTCCCCTGTGGTTCCCCGGGGCAGGGAGGAGCTGTGGAGAGGTAGCCGGTGCCTTGCACAGAGCCTGAGTTCGGATGGGGCTCTGTAAGAGTAACAAGGAGTTAATGATGTCTGTGGGGTCTGAAGCAATCTACCTTCTGGGCATGATAAGGACCTGTGAGGAGTCAAAGTCATGGAGGTACTCTGCGTCCTTGACTACCTCCAGAACACGCATTACTGATAATGGAAACTGCCTGTACTGCAGCGTCACAGCGTGAGATGTTTTAACTGTGACCCAGGAGCATCGTAGCGACATCAAACAGGCTCAGTGCTTGACACCAGTGCTGAACTTCTGTCGCTCTCTGATGGAGAAAGTCTTCTGAATTCTAACATTTGCTGGAATCGCCTTGCTCCAGGGGCGAGAGTCACTCTCCCATACTGTGACCCATCGCAGTGAACTGACTGCCGCGGGGCCAAGTTGCAGAAGATAAACAGCAGACAGCACTGCCTTAGCCGCTCCACTCCTCTTTTGCAAAAACAGACCCCTCTCAGCCACAGAGGTTCCTAGACAGTTTTCCTCACTAATTGCCCAGAACGGGGGTAGCTGCATAGACCAGGCTTCAAGAAAGTCAATACCCAAGTATGGCTGGGAATACCGCTTGCTGGTGCCTAGCATTCCCTCCAGCAGTCAGAGTCTACCAGGCCTAATGCAGACCAGAATCATTCCCCTTCAGTCAAGGACTCAGCAGTCAAATGAAGCAAAGTCAAACTGTGCTGTGAGCTGTGGGACACCTTGCTGGAACAGTTGGAGAGAGCAGAATGAATGTCTGTTCTTAAGGAGTCATTTTTATGTTGGTAATTGAAAACTCTCTGCTCAGTTCAGCACATCAGTCTCCTAAATTACACAATACATTTTCAGAACAGCCTGCAAAGCTTGAAGGAGAACAGCATAGAAGCTTAAGCCCTGTTTCTCCTACCTAGCTCAAACTCATCCTGGCAAAATGGGCTCTGCACCACAGCAGTTGAAAGGTAACCTTGGGGACCCATCACAGAAGAAATGAGAGCTATGCAGCTCACAACCTCCCCTCCAGGTAAGGCATTAAAAAGGAAATCAGAACATGAATTCTTATAGGTTTGGAAAGTCCCAGTGCATTGCTTTTTCATAGGCCTCCGTGGAGAAGGAGCAAGAAAGCAGACCACAAGCTCTGGGGAACCATGCAAAGGAAGGGAGGCCACAGTACCATCTACAGCTTCTTTCCAACAACTGTCTGATTACAAAAGGTGAAAAGCAACTTTTTTTTGGTAGAACAGATTTGTAAAATGTGTTCAATAATCAATCGCTGCTGCTGCTATTACGGAGGGCAGGGCCTCCCTGAGAGATGCTGGGATTTCTTCATGACAAGCCACCAGAAAGCAGTGTAATCATCAGGCAGTGGCTGCTAAGCTTGCAGTCTTTCTGTCTATGGTGTGGCTTTTGAGGAAGAGGACCCTGTGACAGGAGCAGGAGTGATGCGGACCTTTTGCACAAGCCTCTGCAATTGATGGGACAATGGGCCACAGCCAGGAAACCCATTGGCACTTAACTGCAATCTGAAAAGGAGAGAGCATCAGGCATGCATACCTGAAGCATGACACACAGCCCATCCTTGAGAGTCAGACCCACCTCTGAGGAACAGTGGAATGAACCCATCAAAGGTGGTGGCATTGTCCAGCCAGCCATGCAAGCACAGCACAGGGTATCACTCCAGGGTCCCCAGGCCTTGGCTGCCGCATGTCCCCAGGGCACAGGGAACTTCACTTCTGAGTATTTGTCCGAACAACAAACATCCTCTGAGCACTACATGCTGTGAGCTAGTCCCAGGGAGCTTGTTAACAGCCTAGAGCTCTGGACAGAGTGTGTAGGTAATGTGGTAGTTACCAAATTTATCTGGCACCCCTGACCTCTGCTTAATACCAGTTTTCAGCCACAAGCCTTGTTTGGGATAACCCTGGAATCTTGCTGTAAATGCTTACCCTGGTAGTATGTGCATCACCATTCACCAGTCTTGGACCCTCTTCCCCATCACCTCGGACCTTCTACCCTACTCTAGCAGTGAGTAGGATCTGGGCTCTCTTTGCTTTGGATCACACAGATGAGCTCTGGGTCGGAAAGATGTGTTCTCTAGTGAATTCTGATTCCCATGACTTGCATCACAAGTCGCTTCTGGTAGGAGGCTCCATCAGCAAGGACCTCATGGAAAAGGCAAACTTCCTCGTGGAAATTGTCAGCGGTAGGTGATGCAGGATAGAGCTCCCAGTGGAGAAGGTTGCAGACCTGGACCCTCCGTCAGCAGCAGGACTGTCATCCTAGAAGCCAAAGCCAGATTGTTGAAATCTTCTCCAAGTCCCACGTTGTCTTCTCTAGCAATGCTACTTACCCCTCTGAAAGAGCAGCTCAGCATCTTACAAGACTGCATATCTTCCCCCGCACTGCCTGGCAAACCACCCCCCAGGAGAAGGGCCCTATGCAGGATACATGGCAAAATTTGGATGGCTCACAAAATTAATTTTGCTGCATCTACTTCTAAGAAGTGCTGCAGGCTACTGCAGTGGAATTGCTGCCTGTGGAGGACCAAATTAGACTCCACCTAGCAAGGTGCTAGGGTGTTAGCTGGGCTGCACTGGCCTGGTGGTAAGAAAAGCTGGTTTTGCTTAAGAACTGGGAGTTAGAGATATCCTGTGTACTTAGCAAAGGATAATTTAACCTCTGTGTCCTTCCAAAGGAGGAGGAGACTTGCAAGGGTGAACGTTGGGACATGCAAAGCTGTTATGCTCTGCTGACTTGGAATGGCATTGATCAGTTTGTGCTAGCTGCTGATCTGTTGAGGAAACTTTAAGTACAGCAGATTGATTGCTACCAAGGGACAAATTCCCCATAGCTGGTTGGATTCAAGCACTGAAGTACTGACATATTGATCTATTTATGGTGATTTATTAGTAATAGCCCTGTACCCCAAACTCTCTTGTGCAAGTACAAAAGCACGCTACAAGTAAAAAGCATGCTATTGCTAGCTTAATTGATTTCTTCCAGAGCATACATAGAGAATATACCTCTACATAAAGTCCCACATTGTAAGCCTATGCTGCAATCTACAATGGACAGGAAAATAAAAGTGATCACAGGGCAAAA